GCCGGTGGACCTCGCCCACCAGTGTCTGTCAGTCATTCAAAACATGAAACACACACGTGACAATGTATAGTTTATTTAAACATGTTAAACAGTCCCTCTGGTTGATCCCACAGGTTTTACCTGATATGGTGGCGAGTCCATCCTTCTGAACTTCTTGAAGTGTTGTTTAATGCAGGCTTCAATGGCTTCGAAGGCCTCTGTGTTGTTCAGCCATTTTCTTTTGATCAGTTTGTCAAAGAAAGGCTAGAACAACAGACCAAGTTCTGATTAACACAGTGCACAAACAAACTACATTTAGTGCAGGTTTGAGAACATGCATTTTTTAATACTTCACACCTCTGCTCCGGCACTTCTCAGAGAGAAATACTGGACATTTTACTGCACTACATTTAGCTAACAGCTGTAGTTACTAGTTATTTTGCTGACTAAAATTTTACATTCAAAACATATGATCATTTCATAAAATATGAAAGACATTTTCCTGTTTACATGTTAATGGGTCAGTAATATTAATCAAATATGAACATTTGCAGCACAATAACTATACAGATGTCTTCCTTCTGCATAATAAGTGTATATTTGTCCATGAACAAATGAAGTACATTTACATCATGGTTTTGAGAAGGTGAGTCCAAATGTGAAAACTTGATTGGGTGTTTTTCACTATTATGCACTAAGAAAACACGAAGAAATGTTTTTAGGTAATGGAAGTTCTCCAGCATGGCCATGTACAGTCACAGAGGCCATCATGAGAGTTTTGTTAAAGGGAAGCAAGCCGTGAAGAGTGAAAAGAGACTTGTTAATGCCTTCCTCACCCTGATGTGCTCGAACAGTCTGTTAGTCAGCACCCTCACTGACTGATTGATGATCTTGTCCAGGGACAAGTTGGCTTTCTGTGCCGACTCCTCGCTGCCCTGTGGGTCACACTGCCTGCAGCGCTCCACAAAGGCTCTACAGGACAGACAGGAGATATGAAGATGCCCTTTTAGCAAATTGCCACAATCCTCCTCCAAGAAAGTTGTATAAATGTTCATCTAGTTAGTGTTGCCATTGTTGCTTGTGTACCTGAGAGGGGGGCAGCAGTTGACCAGGGCTATAGTCTTGGAAACATAGCCATCACCTCGGTCTCCAAATTCTGCCTGAGTCTCATGAAACATCTCCACTTTCCTCTGGAAACTGAACACATTAAGGTTTTATGAGAACCTACTGAATGCAGATAAGAAATTTGTCTTGTCATGTAGAAACACTGGGGCTTGTATTCAAGATATCCTTAAATAAATAAATAAAAAACACACCATATTTAGTAAATTTGCTTTTTTAAATAAAGAGTACCAAATTCGGTATTACTCTACTCTACACCTGACTTGAATGTATTTTGTTTTTGCCAACTCCATATCATGTGATTTAAATCTGATTTACAAGTCTTGGTAGAATCTACCTCTTTTATGAAGAATCTTTCTCTGACCTTACTCCTTTCTGATAACATGAACTCACTTGTAGAGAAAGTCAGCCAGGCCAGTGAGACTACAGCGAGCCACTCTTGCCCCCAGAAAATGGTTCACAGCTGTGGATCTGTCCAAATCTACCTTTAGTCTCTGCAATTGTCAAAGACATGAGTAATATTAGCTTATGTTTGTAGTACATATTTAAAATAACTTTAAGTTTCCAGGATTTTTTTATATTGAAAATGATGTGTGACAATGTACCTGGATGACAGCGCGTGCTAGGTGCGACTGATACTCCTCTATGTGCAGAGTCTGGGCCCACCGCCTCTCCTCTTCATCCAGAACCTGAATCAGCTCTGTTGTCACATTCTCCTAGAAATCACAGCAAACATTAACATGTGTCCACTATCCAGATTGTTTAAAGAACAGACATGGAAAAATAAAATTTCTTACCTTGACAATATTGATGCAGTCTTGTTCCAGCCTGTCCACTGTGTCTTGAAGCAAAATGGGTTCCAATGGGGCATAGTTGATCGGTGTGGTTGTGCCAATGGTTCCTAGAACATCCCTGATGGGAAGTGATGAATTATCACTAAAGAAGTTCAACTTTCACCTTTATATAACAGCTCAATATGTTGCTGTTACATGTAAGCTTCAGAGTCACTGTCTACTCTACCTGTTATAGATGTTGAAGAACCAGTCCAGCAGCGAGTAGACATCTGTAATCTGCAGTGGGCCACTGGTAATAGTCTGAAGACGTTTGGCCACAGCTCTATGGTAACTTTCCACATACACCTGGAAGGCAGCAAACTCCTCTGGATAAATGGACACAGCGTTCCTCCTTGCTGCATCCAGGTCATCCACCATCCGACTCCTCAGGCGCTCCAGGTATGAGGCCAGCTGGCCCGCCTGTGTGTCCACCTGAAGTGGCAGGGGCCAGTCTTGCGA